TTTTTTTTTTTTTTTTTTTCAAAAACTTTAGAAAGCACCTCAGAACTCTAAAAAAGTTTCCCTTTTTTTCAAAAAAATAAAATAAAATAAATTTATAAAACCTAGAAACCAAATTAAGATTTTGATGTAGAATATTATCACGACTTTGTCTAAAACTTATAACTTATGACACTAATGCAATTCATCCTATATCACCTAGAATCTAGATCGAGAATTCACCCACATCCACTTCCGTGGCCCTCGTGATTTAAGCATGCTCATGCATTAGAATTGTCCATTATTATGAATTTTTGTAGGCTTCAATGGAGAAATAATTTAATTAATTATTCTGAATTTATTGGTGATTTGGATATCTTGTTTGAAAATAGTTACTCAATATCGAATACTTGGTAATTTTTTGTTATATTTTTAGGGATTTGGATTTTTTTTTAATTACACATTTTAAAACCATTATATTCAATTTTTAAGTCTTGATAAATCGAGTCAATTTCATTCAATTTATTTTTTGCCATTATATTTAGTTTTTCTATTGGAAGCTTTATCATGGTCATGTCTCTCACGACCATTTTATTTTTATAAACATCTTCATCGTCTAACATATTTTACAAAGATCAAATTATTATTGTAAATATAGAAGAGTTTGTTCTAGGTACATAAACGTGTGTATAAGTAACTAATTAAGCTTAACCAAACTTTCGCGTCAAAAGTGTCACACCACCACTATATCATCTCCAAACAAATCACATTTCACGAAATTAATTCTAAAAAATTTATTCCAAATAGGGACTTTGGTAAATAATGTGTGGAAGTCATTACTTTTATTCATCATTCTTATATATCTATCTACTTAGAGGTGTCAAGACGGACGGGTCGGCCAGACCCGTGAAAATCGGTCCGGATCGATCCGGGACAGCGAGCTGACTCATGATCCGAGTGGACGGTTCACGGGTCAAGGAGGTGTGACTCGCGGGTTTCGCATGTTGCACCTTCACGGATCGCGGTTAACCCGCTGGTCCGTAAAAAAAAATGTGTCAACCTAATTGGAATGTATTTATGCTATAAATATTTGATAATAGTAATTAGAAATGCATTTAGCTGTTATTTGTTTAATTTAAATTTAACTTTGCAAAATTATAAATAATTCATGTAACATTAAATTTGAATTCTATGTAAACATTTCTTGATATAAATATGAATTTATCATTTTGTTCAATTCTTAGTTTACATTTAACAAAAAAAATATTTTTTGCTATAAATATGAAAAATTCTATATTTTTATAATTTCATTTATACAATAATACGGGCCAAATAGAAACAATTTTTTTATAAAACCCTAGTATTCATAAAATATCATATTCAACTAAAATCAAAATAATAATGAAAGAGACATGATTAGAGAAAATACGTATACACATAGATTTATATGAAAAATAATTTGAAAAAGTAAAGATTACATTTTATTGTGAGTTTGATGAATTTAATATGTGGATAATTCTTGATTTGTGTTTGAGTTATTTGATAATGTGTCTTTTAATTCAAGTAATATCAGTAAGAAATTTCATTCCGAATTATTTAAATTTTCTATTGGGACTATCTTTTCTTTTATTGATTTTCTTGAATTGAAAATATTGATAGCTATTTCTTTTTTTGGTAGGACTATCAAAACAAGAATTTGAGTTTTCTGCTGAGATTATCTTTTTTTTTTCTTGATTTTCTTGAATTCAAAACATTGATGGCTAATCTGCTATAATTATCAAAACAAATAAAGAAATTTGATAGTGTATAATGATGGTAATGATTGAAAATACGAAATGATTATGAACAAATTATGATGGGATGGATATAACAAAACGGTTGAATAAATATACAAAAATATTGTGAATGTGTAGATATATAAAAATGGTGTGGATAAATATATGAAATGGTTGAAAAAAGTATGACGTGATGGATATATAAAAATGGCATATGCTAGAATTGGGGTCTGACTCTAATTTTTTATTGAAAATAATTGAGAATTATAATTGAAGTGCACGTTAAGTGAAATTCCATTTGAAATGGTTTTGGGAATCCTATTCGAAATTTATTTGAAGAATTTTAGTTGAAGTTCAATTTGAACTTGAAATTTGTGTTGAACTTGAAAATGTCAAAATATGGATCGGGAGAAAAGTCGTCGCAATTTCACTAGTTGGCCGCTAGCTTGGCGCTCAAGCGGCATTGTCAAAATTTCACCCAAGACTTAGCGTCCACCTGACGCTCGAGTGGCGATGTTATCCGGCCAAGGCATGTTTCACGTTTTGACGCATTTTGAGCGTTTTTTTCCCTTTATAACTTTACTTTTAGGACTTTGGAGTCCCCTATATATATTTAGCTATTCATTGTATTTTAGATGAAGTTAGACAAATCATAAACAAAAAAATTTTGTATTCTTTCTCCATATTATAATAAAATCTCTATTATCTGCAAATTATATTGTTTGTATTTTGTGAACTATATTTCATATTGTATCTATAATCTCGTATTTTCTTCAACAAATTGGTATTGGAGGAATCTGATATCATCATCGTCTTCAACAAAGGCTTGGAAATTCTTGGGAAATCGTGGTTTTGATCAAGTTAAGAGCTCATATTGATCTTTCGTGATGACAACTATGAAGTATGATATTTCGCCATTAGATCACAATACAAGATTTTCTTTGTGGCGGCTAAAGATGCAAGTAGTACTCACTTAGATGGATTTGAACTACGCGTTGTTGGGATTTGACAAGATGTCCATAACTTGAACTTTGGAGGAGAAACAACAGAAGGATCGAAAAGCCCTGTCCTAAATACATCTTCATCTTTCAAATAATATTCATCGGGACGTTTTGAAAGAGAAGTCAGCCGCTACATTATGGTTAAGATTGAAGCAATTATGCATGACGAATTGTCTTACTAGCAAATTGCATTTGAAGTAATATCTGTATTGTCATCGTATGATAGAATGTACATTTCTTGATGATCACCTAATTGCTTTTAAAAAACTCATCGCTAATTTGGAGACCTTGTATGTCAAATATGATGAATAAGATTTGTTATTTATTTTATTTTGTCATTGTCCGCTTCATATATGTCTTTTAGAAACACAATTTTATATAGATGCTTATATTCAAAGGAGAAGATGAAGCATCTTGTTGCATTTAAGGATCATGGAGATGGTCACATTATCGATGGTGGTCGTGCAAGGAGCAAGTCAAAATCCAACTTCAAATTTTGTAATTATTACAAGAAAAATGGGCACTCGATAAATTATTATTATAAATTGTAGAATAAATCAAAATTGATTGTAAATCAACAATCAGAAACTTCAGGGAAAGCAAGTATTGTAAAAAAATATTAATAGTGATGAAGAACTTTTACTTATGTCTGACTATAAGTCCAAATCTGACGAGACTTGGATTCTTGATACAGTTTGTACTTTTCACATGTGTCACCATCGGAATTTGTTTTCAACATATGAAAAAGTTTCAAAGGGGTTATGACGACCAGTAATAATACATATTGTTGAATAGTTGGTATAGGCCTGGTCAGAATAAAGATATTTGATAGGACGGTTTAAACATTTGATGCAGTGAGACACGTTCTACATTTGAGGAGAAATCTTATTTTTTTAAGTACTCTTGATTCAAAAGAGTATAAATGCACTGTTGAATGTAGAATCTTGAAAGTTAGTAAATGAACCCATGTTTTATTAAAGGGATATAGAAAATCTCATTTATATATCTTGTAATGTTATACATAATTTTTGAGCAATCAACATATTTTAAGAACTCAGGTAAATTTGGAGTTAGATTCCATATCATTGGAGTTTAATTTAAGGTATTTTTTAAAGAATGCATCTCAATTGAATTTAGAAGTTATGGATAAATCCGTCTTTCCACCATTATCGACGGTTTTATTGTATTCAGTTGCTAGTAACATATCTATTTTTGGCCATAAGATTCCACGTGTACAATTATGTTGATTTAGTTGTTGGTTTGAATCCGGTTAATAATTTTTTGTAGCCAAGAACTTGCTCTTGATGCATTCAATTGTGATTCTGTTACAAGGCTTGTTTCAGCCTTACTGATAATCATTAAATCAATTTTGCCCCTAGTTGGGGTGCAAGAGGTGGATAATATTTTCAGTTGAAAATTTTGATAGAGAATTTTATTTGTATTTTAATCGAAAAGTTCAAGTTAATTCCTTGTAATGGAATTTGTTTTCAGGTGGAGAATTTTTTAAGTTTATTCATTGTGGTGGAATTCGGGTTAAGGTGGAGATTGTTTGAATTTTGGTGTGACCCGAATTCTTTGTTGAAAATAATTGAAAATTCTAATTAAATTGTNTGTTGAAAATAATTGAAAATTCTAATTAAATTGTACGTTAAGAGGAATTCTATTTGGAATATTTTTGGGAATCCTATTCGAAATCTATTTGACGAATTCTTGTAGAAGTTCTATTTGGAAGTCCAATGGAAGTTGGAGTTTGTGTTGGACATGAAAATGTCAAGGTATGGAGCTGAGAGAAAATTCACCGCATGCGTCATCAGATTTTCACCAGAGACTTGGCGCCCGCCTGACGCTCGAGCGACGATGTTATATATATAACTTTTCATAGTATTTTAGATGAAATTAGACAAATCATAAATACAAAATTTTTATATTCTTTTTCTATATTATAATAAAATCTCAATTCTTTGCAAATTACATTATTCTTGTATTTTGTGATGTTTATTTCAAACTGTGCCTATAATCCCATATTTTCTTCAACAAATTAGTATTAGAGGAATCTGATATCATCTTCGTTTTCAACTGTGTGGATGTATAGTGTTTTAAATGAATGATAATAAGGACATTTGGAGGGGTGATTTCCTCATCATCCGATTCGATTATGATGGGAAAAAATGGGGACGAACCGAGTATTGGTGGAGGCTTATTTAGGTTGACTGGTTCGTTGATCCCTATGGACGAACCCATTATCTCAATATGATTGTATTGAGTGGGAGTAATTGTGTATATTTGATCTATAAAGTGTCACGAAGCTGGATGAGTGTTTAAGTGTAAATGAGAAGAAAGTCATGCCATGTTATTTATAATCAAATTATTGGAAAGAAACAACTATGGTCATTTAGTACACAACCACCAAATCACAACTTAAGTTATTGCTCGAGTGACTATTGGTGTGATGGTTTAAGGTCTATTTGTACCTTTATCCCCTAAACTTTGTTCATAATTTATGGAAAATGTGAATCTTAAATCACGAGTACCATTTTTTCATAAAAGTTGCTTTTTGTAGTTGTTGGTAATTAATGATTAATACCGATTCAATCCGAGCTCTTATAATTCCTGAGTACTTTTTTGTCTTAAGTGTAGCACTTACCTGTCAGAACATATCCTATACTATTAGAGAACGTTCAAGATGAAAGAACATGATTTAAGTAGTTTTATTGTACTAGATTTGAAATAAAAATGTTACATATGTTAGAACAAGAAGAGCAATCGTCCTGATGTGTTTTGATATTTAAACTTCTCATAATCAGAATTCAATCAAATAATCCAATTTTGTCACGTGCTAATCAAACAAACCAACAAATATGTCAAAAACAAAGATAAAACAAGTAAAATTTGTGTCATAAAAGCAATGGTCTAGGATTCTCACAAACTATATAATTGCAAAAGAGTTTTCACTCGATTGATTTCTAAATAGATAATAGAAGAATACTTCTTCGTTTCTTTTTCCGAGTTAGTATATCTGGCTTTATAATTTTCATGCATAAAAGCACTAGCATTGTAATAAATATCAAAATAAGAACATGCCTCAAATGTGTACAATGCAAATAAACGATAGAGAAAACGATGAATGACAAAATGATAAGTTTTCACATCACAAAGATAGCAATATCCACCTTATATCTAGCAAACACAGCATATGAGAAACAACAATTCTTGGATATGCATAAGCATAGATATATACAACTATCAAATCGTATTTTAACACACTTCCTCAAACTATTTCTTGACTCTCTTTTTCCTCCCCTTGGTGAATAGAGTCCCAATAGATGTTGCATGAAATCGAACGCGTGTCGATCGTGGTCTTTTTGTGTTAACAGTATCGCCGCCTTCAACGAGTATGGCGACGGCCACGGGTATGTCAATGACATTGTCTACGCAAAAGTAGTATGAGTTGTATTAGTTCTCCAAAATGTCAACTAATAACATAACATAGTCTACCAACATCTAATTATCCACCGGCTTCCTAAAATAATATAATCTTATTTGTAAGAACATCGTACAAAAAGAAAGTAAAAATGTCAGATTATAATAATTCGTATATGTTAATGCAAAACACATATATAATGTTCAGATGAACCAAAGTTGGTCATGTCGATAAATGACTGTAAAACTGATATGTTGAAAAATACTGACTTTATCTGTCAAGAACGACAGTTCATATCCATGGATGACTCAACTGAACTGTTGAGATTTAGTTATCTGTCGAGAATAATTGAAGCTAACTGTTGAGAACGATAGTTCATCTCGACAGACGAGTCACATAACTGATTTGTCGAGAATTAGTCATCTGTCGAGACTTTCATTTTGACAAATTAAACACTTCACTTAAAAGATAATTATGTTTGTTTGTGTTATATACGAAGTATTGGTAATTAAAAGTGTCTGTTTTCTAGTCCTAGTCCATAATTAGAATTTAGAAGTGTCTATTTTCGCAAAGTAACAAAATGAGAGAGATAAATGAACACACATGCGCATACACATCACGAGCATATGAAACTATAAACTCGATGAACACCCATCCGACTTTCTTTAACCCCTTCTTCTTGACAATAAAAATGGTGCCAATAAAGAAGCTAAAAGACAAAGCCTGCACCAACCCTTTTATATTGTCAGACGAAATCCCCATATATAGACCCGACGTAGTGGCAGAAGAAGCAGATAATAAAAGAGACAAAAAGGCAAACTATCACAATCTCATCAATTACTGTAACAATAAATAATCGAGTTAAACAAATGGGCTCCTCTTTTCTCCTCTTGTCTGAAGTTATAACTTCTAACTCAGTATATTTTACTGGGTGGTCCAATGATCTCAACGTAACAAATGAAAAACTCAAACACCTAATACACAAATATAGGAATCAAGATGAGATGAGCCCATACCTTGAAAATTATTCAGTGTTAAAGCCTAAAAAGAAGATTCGATCCAAAACCTTAAGCAAATTTATCTGAATCGAATGAGACATTTGAGTTCAGCGTGGCTGCATGAGAAATATTTGTCAATATTTTCGTCCCATGTTTAAGCATCAAAATGGTTGAAAATGGAGGTATTTGTCGACAATCGGATATTCTAGTTCAGCATGGCTGCATGAGAAATATTTGTCAAGCGTTTCGACCCATGTTTAACGTCAAAATGGCCAGAAATGGAGGTATTCGTCTGTGACACCGGTTGACTTTTTAGATTTGGAACGAGAGAAAAAAGAGTGTGAGTCTAAGGTTTAGTGGAGATGTTGAATAAGAGAAATAAATTGGGCTTGATTTTGGGTTTTTCCACTTTGTTTTTCAAAATTTTCAAATATTATTGTGAGTTGATTGGTTGTCACATTTTTTTCACTTTTTCAATTCAAGAATTTATAGGGTATTTAAATTTTATGGAGGGACAAAATTGTTCGAAAATGATAATCTTGGAAAGATTTTGAAAAGTCACATTTTCTAAAATGCAAAGCCAAAAAATTGACGTGGAGTGCAAATTCCTCATTGTCAAATACTACGAAATAGGCGGGCATTCTGCGACATGGCCGGTTCCAGAAAGCCAAGGCGCTCTCTGGCCCTCTTCTCATATTCATCTTCATCATTTTCATATTCCAACTTTTCCTCTCTTGCTCCCGCTATGGTCCCACTGCTTCCTCCAACTTGGCCCCACATTCCTCCTTTCAACAACAGGAAGAAGAATTTCAATTCTCGTATGCGTTAAGAGGTGCATTTTCCCATCTTTGTCATACCCTCCAATGTGCTGCAAGTATATATTTAGGGTGGTTATATGTTTGTATCTTTGTACGTGTTTCTTGAGCGTGTGATTTTGTCTGGTATGTCATGCAAAGAGAATACAAATATGAAATATGCCTGCCTTTTTCTTTCCTTTTTGAAAAACTTTTTGTCCACCTCTTTCATAATGAAAACCCAATATTTCTCTGTCCACAATGATGTTAATGCTGCAAATTGCCCATTGATTGCGCTATGAATCTTCCCTTTTCATGTCACCCCCCAAAAGTTCATTTTTTTCCCTAGACATACAGGAGGATATTGGGATTTAATTTTAAGGTAATAATTTGGTGGAGAAATTGGGAAAATGGGAGTGTTTTCGAATGATTACGGGTTGAATTAGAGGAGCCAAGCATGGGTAAATGCAATCATTGGATTACTGTATCATCAACTCGCTTTTGCTTTGCTTTTTGCTTAGAAAGGGTAGGAGATTCTGATCTCTCACATTTTTTTCTCTGATGAGATTAAGGCGTAGAAAATGTATTCCTTCTTGTGCCTCTAATAGAAGAGTAAGCTGCTGATTATTTCTCTCTAACCTTCACTCTTTCATTTTATAGCACCAAAAACAGAGGGACTCACTTCTCTTTTAAAAATACACCGGTTTTTCTATTAGTATTCAGCTTCCCCAGAAGTAATTTCATCTTCGTATACATTTATTTTTAAAATTTAAATAAAGAAGTCTTAGAATTCTTAGGGCATTAGATTGAGTCTTGAATCATACAGGACGGAATTTCGATTCTGTAGAACCACAAGCAAATAAACCTTCCTGTAGAATCAGGTGATTATTCATTCACCTACAGTATTGCACCAGACAATGCAATCAAAGAGTCTTGATACTAGTTTTGTCCATTGACATCCTGTGCTGCAATTGAAGTCTATAGATTTTCTTGAAAATGAATACGTTACTTTGAAGCTATAAATTATTGTACTAATTTCTAGTTATTTTACTTGCTTGATATTCAAGACTGTTATGTAATTAACATTAAACTATACTAGTTTTGGCTAAGAGTATACCGGTTCCAATATTTTCCATGCTTCAGTTTTTTTCTTGAAACAAAAATTTATTTTCTTAGTTTTGGCTATGTATAATGCTAGTTCTGGTTATTTCCTGTACTCAAATATCGATTTTTAAGTAAAAATTAGAAAGAATAATTATCAATGGCTAATTGGTGTCCAGTAATTTCATTTTAATGTACCAGATATTATTAACTTCATCAATTTTCTTTAGGGATTATGCTATTGGATCCATTTACCATTGTCCCCTTTGATTGAAGTAAATTTTTGTATGAAAATCAATGCTTTTCAGTTTCTCTCATATCCTTCTTCTATGCTCATCTTGATTCATTCTTTCATTCATCTATATGTCTCATATAATTCGTCCTATTGAGATGGAAGAAAGAAATAATTCATATGTGTTTAGCACCTCATATTTAATTAGGTGCAGTTAAGTAATTTGACATCTATTTCATTCTTATGGATATTCACATATCTAGGTTGATGAAGATGAACTTTACTGGGATGGAAAAAAGCATGATGAAGATTCGGCTTGGTCGCTTAATTCTACTCACATAATATCAAAGTTAGCTCAGTGCTTTAGTGAGTAAAAATGATTAATACTGCTTTATGACATTGCTTACATAAGTTTGTTTATTATCTCTTCCTCCACCGGTGTTCACACACTTACCACTTCCGCTGCCTTTGAGTTTAATTTTGAAGTTCTCAATAGAGTTTTTCTTTTGCTTAGGGTGACCTTTTTCCTTGTTCTTATTGTTGCCTTGGTTTCTGTATTTCTGCCCTTGGTGCAGACCGTTTATTGTAAAGTCTGTATCTATCCTAAGTGAATGACTCTTGAAAAACAAGCAAAAGCATATTGAAACCTTGTATGATTTGCATGCTACCTTTCTCATATAACTCTATTTTTCAAAAGTATGGTCGTCAAATAGGGGCTAAAAGTGTCAAAGCTTGAACTCGAAACCAATTGGTCATACAATTAAGCCCCTGTTTGACAACCATTATTTGAGGGAAAAAAGAGTTTTGAATAGTGATTTTTAAGAGAATGTATGGTTAAAAAGTATGAAAAAGTTTTGGGTTTACGTGTAAAATATTTTATTGTGTGAATGTATGATTGAAAATGAGTATATAGAAAAAAAAAAGTTTGAAAATAATTGTTGTCAAACAGGGGCTGAGAGGAATACAGGATTTAGGTGCTATTCTTGTAGGCTTTGATAATAAAAAAGTTATGATAATTTTGCTCCTTAATCCATTCATGAAGCCCCTGCCACACTCAAATGCAAAATAATACATGCTAAAACCCGAGTCAACTTCTCTAAAAAAAATTGACATACTCGGGTAAGAAAGAAATGATAAGCAAATGGTTGATACCTCTGTGCTTGAACAACATCCGTATTAAATCCACAACTAAATTTAACTGCCAACTCTGCCAAATTTCTGTACATGGAGAGGCAGGCTCGTGCTATCACATAATGGAGCCTTTAAACTGTTGATGGAGGATGATTTCTTATCTGTCTTATATTTAATGATGCTTGAGTCTTCTAAATCTTCCATAAGCTGAATACTAGATTACAGATTGCCTAAATATATATCAAATTTATAATACTCCTTGATTTGCAGCCGGATGTGGGGGTGTGTTAAGTAAGTCCAGTTACTTCTTTTAATCAGTATCTACTGTCTAACGAACAAAAACTTATTATTTCACTAATCAGATTTTGTTGGTTATAGCTAATGCTATGGTTGGACCAAGAACATGGATAGGAGGAATGTTTAGCCGCTCAGGCAATAAAAGATATGGAAGCGGAAAATTTCTTGGCTACACTTTAAGTCCTACTCAGGTATTTGGAAAATTTGATTGATTTATGAGACCTTGCATTTCAGCGCGTATCTAAATTGTAAATGGTTTATTGCATTAAAGAGACATTGGGTTATATATTTTCATCTGTTGGTCTGCCTAATCTTATATGCATTGTAATATAGATGTAGATCGTGATTTTTTTCTCCTAATGGCTTTTATTAACCCCTTCTGGTGAAAAAATTTCTTGGGTAAAGTGTATAAAGATGAATATTGTTGAATCTGCTGCAGTATGGGTTTTCAAATCTTCTTTGACTTTTAGTACTTCTTGACCTAAGTTGCAGAGTTTGAAATGCTAGCAGGAACAAAGACTTCAAACACTTCAAGAGCGATTAGGAGTGCCTTTTGATGAGACTCGCCTTGATCATCAAGTATATTCTCCATCCTTGTTCTGTTTCCCAGGATCTCGTTAATTTAAATAAAAAGGAAATAAAAGGTCATCGCTTCAGTTCCTCGACTATAACTACAAGTGCTGAGGATCCCACAAGTCCGAGACTATGTTCTGATTTATAAAACTCGTCTATTAGCCTCAGACAGAACTAGCCACTACTTCCCTATGTAATATTTCCATTAGCAATTAATTTCTGATATGGAGGTGGATTCATTTGTAATGTCAACACTTGCTCTAGTTACAAGTTACTTGTTCACATCAATATAATTGCTTGCTTCTACTGCCAGGAAGCTCTCCGAAGCTTGTGGGATGCTGCCTTTCCGGATGTTAAGCTTAAAGGTCTAATCTCTGAGCAGTGGAAGGATATGGGGTGGCAAGGAGCTAATCCATCCACTGACTTCAGGTACACTTCTACATTTTCAATTCTAGTTTTACATCCCATGTCAGTATGACTGTACAAGTATTAGGATTTTGGGGTGTGTGTACATGCAAGCAGACAAATTTGGATTGAGCCTGGTCATTTTGTTTGGGAGTTGATAGTAAAGTTAGTGCTACTGTGTATTTAGGCAAAAACTTTCAATCTTACAGTCCGCCTTTGAATTCTCAATTTATATTAGTGTATGCTTCAAATATTATGTAGTTCACATTCAAATAAAAATGATCTACTAAACCAGTACAATTATTTTCTAAAACTGAAAAACAGAATGAGCTACCACATTATGCTATATGTGGATGTACTTTGTGCTCCTTTTCTCTTTCATTCTTTCTAATATTGCATCAAATGTAGCTATATTATTTTCAAGAAAATTCTGATTTATTGTCTCATTGTGCTTACTCATTGGCTTTAGGGGTTGTGGCTTCATTTCGCTTGAGAACTTGCTTTTTTTTGCCAAAACTTATCGGGTATGGTTGATCTGCTGCTGCTTCCAAAATCAAGGATAGTTTTCTATGATGTTAAAATATCTTCAGTTGTGTGTATTTTGAAATCCAGGAAGGATTGATTTTTACTAATATTTTAGAATTTGAATTGAAGGTTCCTTTTCAGCGATTACTTTCTAAGCAAGGTGGAAAGCGTGCAGCCTGGGAGTACCCATTTGCTGTTGCTGGCATTAATGTTACATTTATGCTGATTCATATGCTGGATTTATACTCAGGTACGTCAATGGTACACTCAAATGTAGTAGAACTTAGATTCTCCGTTTTTTTTTAATCTTTTGTAAATACATCATGACTAATCCAAATTTTTTTCTCACTAATGTAAACTAGTTTTAACTGTCAGTTTCACAAGATTGGTTATGTATATTTTCTTTAAATCAACTGATCTTTGTTGATAACAGCAAGGCATTAGTTTAATAAAATTAATATCGAAATGGTTAGAGTTTTTTTGTTTCCCACATCGAGTGTTTGTTCATATTACATACAAGTTGCTAAAGGTTTATGGTGGTTACACAGTATAAAAACTTGTGCAATTTGAACTCTTGACTCACAATTGAAACAATCTGAAAATCTAAATTCAAGTAGTTATGCATGCGACTGAAAAATTGCTATTCTTAATTCAACTATCTCTTACTCTCGTTCTCATGATTAGCCGATCAGGTCAAGGTAAAAAGTCTTGGGGCCAGATTTATTTTTCTTCCGTTAAATTGCCTACATTAAATGCAACTATGAAATTTTCTTAGTTAAAATTAAACACGTGTCCAATCTCTTCCAGTTTTGTATCTTATTGTATAATATTTTCTCATTAGATATAATTGGATTGTGGACCACTTCATTTTGCATGTCACTACAACGAATGACACCTTTTGGCAACAAAATTTTCCATAGTTGATGGCCAGATTTTTGTTGGTGAAAGTCATGGACCAAAAATTTCAGTTGAAAAATCAGTCCCAAAAAACCGGATCGGAAAAACCTTTTTTTCAGAAAAAAAGTTGGTGATTATCTTTAAACCTTAAGACACTTATCTTAGCTCAAGCTAAAATATAATTCTAGTTTTGCCCCTATTCTGGGGCCTAATAATAGTTTGCAGTTAGCCCGTTAATCATGGGTCAACCTAATATTGGGCACTTCGTGTGAAACGTTTTCTATTATATAGTGGGCGTTGATACATGCAGAAAGTCACCATAATATTCCTGCTCTATGATAGATTTATTAGAGGGCCTTTTTGTATGTGGATTTGGAACAGTATTGTGGAAAGGGTGGAGAGAAGGCTAGCGGGTTGGAAGTGTATGTACCTCTCAAAGGGGGGCCGTCTTACTCTCATAAAGTCCACTTTGTTGAATCTTCCTACTTATTTTTTGTCATTGTCTCCTATTCCTATTGCAGTGGCAAAAAGATTAGAGATGATCCAAACGGAGTTTCTTTGGAGAGGTTTAGAGGAGGAGAGGAAATTACATTTGGTTAACTGGCGTGTAGTTTGTTCTCCTATTAGATTCGGTGGTCTCGGAATGAGAAGTCTAGTTCTGTTTAACAAGGCCTTGTTGGGTAAGTGGTTATGGCGATTCAGAGTAGAGAGAGAGAGTTTTTGGAGAGATATTATAGGGGCAAAATATGGTGTCATGGAGGGGGATGGTGCTCAGGTGAGAGATGTGGTTCTTATGTTTGTGGCGGTATGTTCGGCGAGGGTGGATCGACTTCCGGGATAGATTGACTTTTGTTGTGGCCTGTGGGGAAAGGTAATACCATCCGTTTTTGGGATGATTGTTGGTGTGGAGATCAACCGCTTAAATTGGGATTTCCTTCTTTGTATCGTATTGCATTGACGCGGTCTGTCATGGTAAATGATGTCGTAGATATTCATAATGAGAGTTTTAGTTGGAACATTGCTTTTGGCCGAGGTTTGTAGGATCGGGAATTTGATGATTATGCGCTGTTTTTGACATCTTTATACGAGGTACATTTCAAGGCAGGAGAGGGTGATTGTAGCAGGTGGAGGTAGACACGTGATGGTATTTTTTCAGTTCGCACTTATTTTAGTTCCTTATTGGGACTTGTAGATAGTTTATTCATCTGGAAGATGGTTTGGAAATGTAAATTGCCCCGACGAGTGACATTTTTACTATGGACGGTGGTCAGAGGATAGGTGTTAACGGTAGATAACCTTCGTACAAGGGGTTTCTATATTATGGAGTGGTGCTATATGTGTAAGAAGGATTGAGAGACTATTGACCACTTGTTCCTTCATTGTGATGCTGCTCGTTTATTGTGGACCGATATTTTGATGTCGCAACATATGAATTGGGTGATGCCGAGGCGTATGGAGGACATGTTAAAGACATGAAGAAAATAGTTGCGCGATAAGGATAGCA